AGTAATTGAAACCAAACCATGACCCATTTCTTTTCCTCAGCCATGACACCTTTAATCAAATCATGATACCTGGAATCAAACCCAGCCTAGAAGTGGAATATGACCAGCTGGTGGCCAACAGAGAGGGACTGAGGATGGATTAGGAAGCATCTGGAGGGGGATAATGTCCAGGAGGGAGGATTATTGATACACCAAGCTCACATCCCTGACTGCTATATTAATTACTCATTACAATACCCAAGCAGATTTCAACGTAAGTAGGAAGTACTATGCTCCCTCCACAAAGCAGTATTCAGTGCTAGCTGTAACTATATCTAGATAGACAGACATAGATACACTTAATACTTAAAGATGCATATATGCGTATATGTGTGTATGTGAACTATATATGTGTGTATACATATATGTGCATATATACATATATCTGTACACACACATATGTTCTTAGTATAGCTTAAGACTCCATTTCTCTTCCTTGTTACTACTTGCTTCAAAATCCTATTTGATGTTCAAAACTTAAATGAACCCATCAGCATGGTATGTTATCTAGCATTTTGATTTTTGGATCTGACCTGTGATTTCTTTAGTGGAAGAAAGTCCCAGAGAGAGTTTGCCAGAAGGTGAAAAGAGAAAATGAACAAATGAAACTCCTTCCCTCTCCCAATAAAGATCAGAACCTTCTCTGCGACTGAAAACCTTACCAAGTTACCTGAAAGCCAGAGAGGTTAACTGGCTGGCCCAGATCCCACACATAACAAGGGCCGGAGCTGGAACTAGAGTTCGTGTTTGGTGGTTCCACATTTGGGTCTCTTTCCACTGCACTACAAGATAACATCATTGTAAATTTGAATTCTTCGACTTTCTTACATTTTCTTACTTTCCCCCCCAAAAGCAAACAATGCCCTAAGACTATACCTAAGCTGCACACATTTAAGGGATGACTGGCGAGTTTCCAGTGAACCAGGGGTATATAATAAACCAATGTAAATATTAGGTGACAGAAGCAGTGTTTTCACTTTCCATTCTGGGTGTCCAGATTCAGAGAATTCCGAAGAAAGCCAGTCTCTACCATTTCCAAACATAGGCATCCACCCAATCCCAGTTGAGTTTCTCCTTGCCAATCTTCCATTTGACTGTGCTATACTGACCTTGGTTCAAAAGCCTAGTTACTTCTCATTGCTGGCATTTGGGAAAAACTCACAGAGTTCCAGAAAACCTCCAACATTCATGTAATGGATGATGGCCTAACCAAATCTTTTCAAAATATGCCTCCTTAGTGATCATAAATAATGAGCTGACATTTACGGAATCTTTTACATTTTCTTTTTTAACTGGTAAACACATCTCAATGGCTGATATAACTACAAGCTGTGTATTTCTATCCAGTTTTCTTTCTCTGTATGACCATTTCATATTACTTGGATTTCTGTTTTTTCTTAGCATTCAGGTAAACTTCTCCACAACTCTCCCAGTGACCTTGGAATAAAAGGAAAACAGAAAAAGAAACACTGATCTCATTGGGAAGTGTAATATTTACATCCCGGCCACCAGGTCTCTTCTTCTAAGATTGCTGCCTGTAAACATACTTGGACTTACTTTCATATATGCAACACTTTTAACAAAGGTCAAAAAGAGGGAAAAGCTGTGATTTAACAACATAGTAATGACAGATACAGGAAGAAGAGGAGGTGGCTCCTACAAGCCACAGGAGAGCACCAGCAGCCCTAATGGGTTACCTACTGTTTATAAACACTTGCTTAAGTTAGGCAAAGAAGTGTCAAGGACTTTGATGGATGACTGACCCATTTTTTTTTCCTTACTTAGGAAACATAGGACAGATTATTGCATGGCTTGATGCCTTAAGGAAATGAGTTCAATTCCCTGTTGTTCCTAGAGTTTCACTGGAAAGTTGCCTTTTTCATATTAATAACTGTTGTTTCCAACACATAATTTAATTGGAGCTATCACTTGTGACCATCAATCAAAGTGCATCCCTGATCCAGGCAGTAATTGATCAAATGAAGGATCGTGTTGCATAGAAATATGGGATGTATGAGTTGGGGGGGACAGAGACTGTCCACTCCAACCCTCATATTTTATACGTCAGGATTCTCAGGCCCAAAGGGGATGGGAATTGTCCAAAGCCAGACAGCTACTTAGTGGAAGAGCCAGGTCTCTGACTCCCAGTCCAGTAGGCTTTCCATCAAACCTTGGAGTTTCTTGAAGCATTAGTTAATGTTTTGAACTGATTCACATTTTCAACTATTCTCTTCCCTTTTTTTTCAGTCCTTGTAACTCTCAGACTTTCAGTTTTATTTGACACTGCCAATTACCCCTTCCTCCTCTGGGATTTTGTGACATTGCTTCCACCTGGTTCTCTTCCTACCTACCTATATGACTACTCCTTTGGTCCATCATCCATATTGAACTCCTCATTGTGAGTAGACTAATGCTTTATCTTGGGTATTCTTTTTTTGCTCATGCTATTTGTCTTGATGACCTTCTTGGCCCCCATGGACTCAATCATGAGCTCTATGCAGATAACTGCCAGATCTAAAAGTCTAGGCCTAGTCTCTCTTCTGAGCTCCAGTACAATATTCTCAACTGTCTATTGGACACTTTCATCTCCTCCTCCTCTAGATGTCTCAAACTCAAAATGTTGAAAATAGAGCTCATCTTTTTGTCAAAAAATTATCCTTCTTCCTGATTTCCCTAATTCTTCAGAGTGGCATTATTCCCCTCTTCATTTTCCTTCATTCCCAAAATCCAACTCGTTGCCAAATCTTGTAAATTCCATCTCCACAATATCTCTCAAATTTTTCTCTTCTCTCTGCTCACACAGCCATTACTCCAGCACAGACCCTTATCATTTCTCAACTGGACTACTGATATAGCCTTCTAATTGGGCTGTCTCCAGTATACGCCTTCTTTGATTTATCCTCTACACAGCTGCCAGTGATGCTCCTAAAGTACAAGCCTGACCCGGTAACTCATCAATTCAAGATGGACCAATGGCTCTCTATTGCCTCTATGATCAAAAACTATGTCCTCTCTACCTGTTAAAGCCCTTCTCAACCCATCCTCACTTTCTAGGATTAACCTACACTATTATCTTCACATACTCTATAATCCAATCAAACTGCCTTTCTTGCTATTTTTCAAAACATAGTGCACCTCCGATCTTAATGCCTTTGCAAAGGCTGCTCCCATGCCTGGAATGCTCTCTCTTAGAGCCTTCACTAACTAGAATCCCAACCTTCTCAATGGACCTTCACCTTCCTAATTCACTCCCTGTCCTCCTCACCATAGCAGCTCTTCCAATTTTTTTCATCCCTCCTCAAACTCCCAGCACTCCCTCTCCCCTCATCCCTTCAGCTGAAAGTTTTCCCTCATGCTTCATTGGGAAAAATGAATTTGCAGAGAAATGCATCTTGTTATCTCCTTTGTCAACTCACGTCTCCAAGATGTCTTCTTCTACTGTCTCCTCCTTCATGCATGTCTCTCATGATGAGGCTGTCCTTCTCTGACATACACAAGTGATTATATTCTATCCCATATTCTCCCTCAGATTATCCTTTCTATCTTTCTTACTTTCTCTTAACTTCCATCCCTCCCTATCTATTGGCTGCTTCCCTGCTGCCTACAAATATGTCTCTCTCTTTTGTCCCTAAGAAACCTTCTCTTGATCCATGTATCACTGCTGGATATCACCCTCTACTTCTCCTGTCTTTTGTGGCTGACTCTTGACAAGCATGTCTACAACAGTTTCCTCTCCATCCTTTGCTCTCAGTTTCTACTTGTCTCTCTACAGTCTGGCTTCTGACCTCATCATTGAACCAGAACTGCTCTCTCTAAAGTCATTAATGATTAAATTGTCAAGTGTATTGACCTTTTCTAAGTCCTCATCTTTCTTGACATCTCTTCCGCCTTTGGCTCTGTCCAGCCAATCTTCCTAAAGTGCTACTATGACTATGTCTCCTACCATGTCCTTTTGAATAAACTCCAGCAGCTCCCTCTCACCTTCATGATCAAATATAACATCCTTTGACATACAAAGCCCTAAATAACTTGAACCACTCCTGCCTTCCCAGTCCTCCTCCTCCTCCTCCTTCTTCTTTGACATTTTAATTGTCTCAGAACAATTGCTGGCATCATTAGGTGAGCAAGATTGATATTCTTTCCTCTATGACACCCTTCTCTTTATCAAAACAAAAATGCCAAACTTCAACATAAAACAGTTCGTAAACCTCTCAAAGTAACAAATACAATGGGGCTAGTCCAGGATGTGGTTTCATGTTTACCCACCAAAGACATACAACCATTATTATATAAGGAAAAGTCAAACAAAATTTGGATAGTCATCTCTGCATCCTTGAACAATTATTGCAGATGAATTATGACGTGATCTGAGAATTAGAGGAGGGGAGGTTTGTTTGAATTTGAGGAAATTGTACAGAATTTCCACACTTAAAAATAAATACACACACACATACTTTTTTGTTGGTGATATAAAATGACTGGGGATCACGATATACCACCAACACTGAAACTTAAAAATCTCAGGTGACCCAAAGGAAAATAGAAAGGTGTGTGATGAGCACAAATTGGCCACCATGTCTTACCAGTAATGATGTCTGCAGAAAATGGGTTTTAAGGGACATCATTTCAGAGATATGAGTGTGGGTTGACTGTTCCTGTGGCAATGAGGATGATAGAGAGTTATCTCATGTGACACTGGTACCACGCAAGGATGGGACTTAGAAGAAGGCCTCCTGACTGGTGTGTGAGTCATATGGGGAGGATTTGTAGGAGGACATGGTATGAAAAGACATGGGTAGGTCTCAATCTGAACCAATGCAGGGAGGACTCATGTAGATGAAATGATGGATCATTGTAAGTGTAAAAAGTCAAGCTTCCCACTATGTTTATCCCAAGTCTTCTACTGCATCAATACTTTCAAAGTCATTATTATGATGAAACAAAGTAAAGATAGAGACCAGTGCAGTGGCTAACCAAAAGGACAACTTTATTAAGAGAGGAGGGCAATAACGTTCACCTCAGGAAACAAAGCAGGCTGGTCTACACACATATGACCCTTTGGTTCAAAACATTATTCATTAAATTCAATGTCAAATTTGATTAAAAAAAATAAGATGTGACCTGTTGTGTGTGTGTGTGTGTGAGAGAGAGAGAGAGAGAGATTGCATAGATGAGTTATTGTAAGTGTGCAATTTACACTGAGTGAAGCCCCAAGTTCAAGCAAGGTTAGAGAAGGATGTTGAACAAAGCTCTGCCACCCAGCCATCCAGGAGACATCTGGTCAGAGTCACAAACACTACAGCAAGCATTTTCCTATTAATATCTCACCAAGGAAATGTCCAGTATATGGTGTATGGCAACCAACCTGCTGGCCATGGCCCCATGCAGGAATAAATGGAAGGAGGTCTATCTCTACCTACCTGCAGGTAAAAAGATACCTGAAATCCAGTCATTCATTCCTGCTGCTTCTAAAGCCACCCACAATGTGGCCATCATAGCCACATTTTTCTGTAGGTAAAAATATATAGTTTGGGAGGCGTATCTTTACTGAAAATCCCTAACTTAGTTTCTTCATGTTTCCTGTGGCCTGCTAAGTACTATCCATTACACCCTACAAGGATGCTCATTATGCTGGTGCTTATAGAGTTACCATTGAGGCCTCCAGGTACTACTTCATCCTGATTTTAAACACTTCAACATTCTAAAATTTCATGGAGGTCCTTTAAAATCAACTAACAATCTGTAAATATCTTTTCATATTGTCTACAGTGAGTCATTTTAGGTCAGGGTGCTTCTGGGCCTGAAAAGACACACATCTGAGTAACAGTTGATCACTGAAATTTCTAAGAATGCCTGCCCTATGCCCTTCCCCTTCCCCATTTCCAATACTTCAGAGTTGAAAATCACAGTTACTCCATCATGGAGTAACTTTTCAATACAGGGCATGAGGCAGACACATGTTCATCTCAAAAACCCCTTCCTAGGAATCCTCAATTTGAAAGACCACTCCCCCTCCCTTTCTCCCACATGCCTTCAGAAATTAAAACTTATTCCAACTTTTAGCCAGCAGGCAATAAGCTGTAACTAGAGCCTTATGGGATGTGCTGTGATTACTGAAATAAGTAATTTGGCTTATGCTTTACCAGGGCCAAAGTGACAGCTTCAGGAGTCTCAGAGAACCATTTAGTCAAGAATAGGAAAAGAAGTATGCAGTTAAAAGGTGTCTTTTGAAACACAATAGCTGGAAACTCTTTGGAAGGTGCTGGGCAACTGTAGGACTGAAATCCCTAAATAGTAAGAACAAAATCACTCCTTCGGGCAGGGTCAAAGTGTTTCTTTCCTAATATGCATCTCCTTGCTGCCCCTTCTGTCTTTCTAGAAAGGTGGCAGTTCAGAAATCCTATGTGATTGTCCCCTCTAGTCATTCAATGGATCGGTTACCCTTCACAGAAAAATCCAGATTACTAGGAAACAAACGTTCAACATGACATTACTTTAAGTGAGCTCCTTAATAGCTATTGTGTTGAAAGTAAGCATAGATGCAAAGGCACTCCCTGCCTCACACATGTGTAAGGGTTAATATTTCATGAAAACAAAGCTACAGATGGCTTGCAAACTGCTCTATGAGTTCCCAGTCCTACAAATGCAATAGTGAGCGTGAGACCAGGTAATGCTACTGGATGGCATTCACAGCATATTGAGGTGAGCAATAGTTATTACACACATTTTAGTGGGTGAAACTGATTATTTACACAGTTTTATATATATATATATGTATTTTTTTTGTGGCACCAAAAGAACCTTTCAAAATAAACTCGGGTTCACTCCATCTGAGAAAAAATTTGGCCAATTTTTGTCTATGAGAAATAATGGTGGGGGTCTTCTTTATATTCACAATTCTTCCACTTGAAATAAAATGAGTTCATTCATTCCCACCTTCCTAAGGTGAGTAAGAAACCACTAAAAAGAAAACAAAGAACTTAAAGAGATGTCTTAATGAATGCAATCAAAACTCAATTATTCTGGAACCAATCATCTGAAATGTGAGACTCAGGTCACTGAACATTTCTACCTCTTGAAGGTATCACTGCATTCCTTCAGTTTATATTTTCTTACTGTTTACATGTATCTCCTCAGTAGAACATAAGCTCCTTGAAGGCAGGGACTGTTTCACTTTTATATTTGTATCCTCAGTACCAAGAATAATGACTGCTACCTATTAGCCCCTTCATAATTGTGTATACAATGGAATTGAATTTCTTCCTCCAACAGGTATTTCTTCATTGAACAATTAATTCGAAAGATCAGAGAAATGAAATGCATGGGGATGAACTACACAACAGTACACTTTGTGACATGCTTGCAGCTCCCAGGAGGAAGACATCCTAAGTAATGGAGGGGCTGCCCCCGCCCTCCATGAGCATAAATACTAGAGAGTTGGCTGGGGCTCACAGTTAAGAAGTCGGATATGTTTGACTAAGAAGTCAAACGAATTTAAGGCAATACTGCTCTTTAGAGACACCACTCTTTTTTTGTCTTAAAGTGCAACTTTCATCAGAAAAGTGACTCTTTTGAAGAGTGTCCTGGTTTCCTCATCCCTGGTTGATATCTCTAGACCCTGTTGAATCATTTCTGAGGACTAGATTTGATTGGCAGCACCAAGGAGCGCCTTCGATTTGAGTATTTCTCCATATTTCTAACAGTCTCTCATTACCCCAGAAAGAAGAGGAATTTAGCTGACACTCTGCTCATTGCAGCATTAACAGGACAGCTCCCCTTTGGCATAGGGCCCAGAGGAAGAAAGATATGCTGGTGTCAATAAAAGGGAAGTAAATATGGCTTCGTGACCTGCAGGCACCACTGGAGACATAGGAAAGGGGAATCACTTTCCATAGTCACTTTTCTGACTCTAAGTAGACAAAATAAATAAGTAAATGTCATCTGATCCTAAATGGGTTTGCTCCTTTTGGAGGGATAGCAGTTAGTTGTATGTGTGTAAATAAAAAAGGCATTCAGATAAAAGAGCAGCATCCAGGGAAACTCAACCATACTACTTTCACTTTGCCTGTATGTTTGCTGCCCACAACTGACCCATTTCCATCTTGGACTTTATCCTGCTTTGTTTCTCAGTTTAAAAAAAGAAAAAAAAAACATTTAAAAGGCCCCTGTATGATGGGGTTTCATTCTAGTACAACGGGGGCTCGACATAGCCATGACTAATAGATTTCCCTTTTTATAAATTAGCACTGAAAACACGAATAGCCATCCCAAAGCCAACAGACACAGAGGCAACAGCAAAAATCAAGCCCCTGAAGAGAAGATAAAACATACACATAGAAAGTAGAATCCCTCCATGACAACAGCAGGTTCTGAAAGAAAACATTTGGCACAAGATTCAGTGTACAGGAGGTCTTCTGATAGTACAAGAAAACAAAAACAAACAAACAAAAACACAAAGACCAATATTGGCTGTTTGGATTCCTGGTGAAACACCCCAAACTGGCAAATAATGAAAATGCGGAAAGGTAACCAGATATCAGAAGCCATCGTGGGGTTTTCTCTGCTGCACAGAGATGTCACACCTGATGCTGGACCAATATGCCAACTGTGATCCAGGAAAGGGAGCTCCGAGTGGGCTATCTTGGGGGCCCTTCCTTTTCCATGTGAAACCAGTCTTTGCAGTATAGCAAACATGCACCAACGAGAAAAGAACCTCAAAGTGCAAGGTCTAAAATTTCTAATTTCCTTCCATAGATTTTGCATCAAATTTTTGGCCCCAGATCAGAGAGCAAATGTTTCTGGAAGGATCTTATGTTTTCGTTTGAAACCTAAATGTCTGGTGAACTCCCTACCTTTCTATTCAGGAGACGATCCCCCTAGTTAGTTGACAGTGGCTTAAGATCATTGACTCTGAATGACTGAAAGAATGTCAGCGGGGGATCCAGTGCCTTTGCTGAAAGCCCTACCCCCACACTTAAATTTGAGGGGAACCAGTGAGCCAACCCCTTCAACTGCACAGAAATGAAATCAGGAGCATGCAATAGTCCAGCCTCCTGAGACCAGGCGACCAAAGCTGATGGGCTGTGGGGATTGAAGCACTTCATTTGAATCACAGAATTAAAGCATAAAAGAATTTGCCTATGGAGGTTAGCTTTGCACATGCCCCAGGGATGGGCAGGGGAGCAAAAGAAGTACTTACTATCTCACTCTCAAATACTTTAAAGCAAAAGGCCAATTGACTCACTGCTCTGGGTTTGGAGCAGAGCACTGAGGTTTCTAATACTTCTTAATACTGCAAAGAGCTCTAGACTTCAGGGGAAGAAAGGTAGGATCTAACTGGATGCCCGGCAGTATTTAATCCATTTCTTTTTGAAAGAAAAATGGAAAAATCCCTCTTCTAAAAAACAAAAGGGTTTTAGTTCTGTATAACAGGCAAAGAGGCTAAGGTGTGTTTAAACTCTTCTCTTTTCAAAGCCCAAACATTTACATTGTTCTAAAGAGATGCTAAATTGGCCAGTCATCACAGTGAAAACTTTACTCTGGGCCTAACCCCAATGCCAGCAGCCGAGACAGAATGGGCAGAATCCGGGGAGGTGTCTGAGAGGTCATGGGCTTCATGACAGAAGCATCACCAGCTGACACTTCATGAAACTAAAGACAATTGGAGGAAATATGAGGGTGGCCAGAGAAACAGGAGAATTGTGACTGTTCCATAAGATACAAAAATAAACATTTATAAAATTTAAAAATGCAGATGATATTATTTGCCAAATTATGAATTAAAAAAAAAAACATGCTGTGTATTTTATTTCTTTAAAATCACCATGTTTGGCTGCTGCCAGAACATGGGACACAAACCACTGGGCAGGTAAAATAATACCTAGATTGCTGGAGCTGAATAGTATCAAGTATCGGTGGCCTCACTGCATGAAACTCAGAAACTGCGAGGTTCTGTTTTCCTGTTTGCCTTCAAATCCTTTTTCTCCTTATGAACTGATGTCATCTCCAGAGACCTCAACTTTCCCCACATTCCATAAGTAACTACCCCTTATGCCCTCAGCATAAGCTCCACTCCCAGTCCACCAAGCACCAACTGGTCCTCAAACTCTCAACTTATTGATACTCACGACCTTCACAAAGAATGAGAGCTTCCTTTAGTCTGTTTTCAGAAAGTGTGCTCTGACTATGGGGTAGAAAGCACCAAATTATTGTGACTGCCGTTATCTTTCATCCAATAACTTCTCTTGTCTGTCTGGAGAGCACTGGCCAACATGCAGGGTACATACCACCAAGGGAAATCCCTCAACAACTAGGACTGATAAGCAACTACCATTGGCTATTTTCTATTTCCATTAAACAAGCATGGGAGGAAGGCAACAGCTTCCGTGAGGGCAGTATCAAGGCTGGAAGATTGGGTTTCTCTACAGCATCAATTAATTCCTCTTTGATGAGCATTAAGTGTCCCAAGAAGACTGTCTCTGAGTAGTTATTTCATCCAGAATATTTCCTTGGGCATCACCAAGACTTAGAAGCCAGCATGAGTGGGAGGCTTTGGTTGATTTTTATCATCTTTGAGCTGACGTGGAAAGTGTCCACCATGCCCCCATGTCTAAGACACAATGAGGAGGGCTACAAAGATACAGCTACTTCTCACCAGCCAAGGAAGACTGCATTCTGAGGTCAGAGAAAGCATGAACACTTTCATCAAATTATTTAAGTGGGCTCAGGGGGAGAAAGAAACAGAAAAAGTTTCTTTGGGGTTGATGGGCCTTAAACCCTGCTCTCCTCTCTCTGATTTGCCACACTTGGCTTTATTAGAAGATGACAAACACTTTACAAGATTAGATATGTCAACTTTTCATTGCTTCTGTATAACATGGGCCAAAATATTATGGCTGTACTTTTGTGCCAAGGGCTATCATTCCCAGTGGCTTGAGCTCTGCCCGTAGAAAATACAACAAGCCCCATTCTTTAGGAAGTGATGGGGAGCCCAGACTGGGGCTAGAGCTCTGTAGCACTTTTCTTATTGGGTTGGAACTGGGGTTTATACACGTAACATGAATTTCTCTGCTTTCTGCTACTCAAGAGGAAAGAATCCCATTGTGCCAGGTCATATGTCTCTTTGTCCCTTTGGATGTCATGCTTTTTTGGCTTGTTTTATATTAAGTTTCTTGCAGAGCAGAGTAAACACCATCTCTCACGTCACTTAGTGCACAAATGACTGAAATGATTTCTTCCAGGAGTTTGTTGTATGTGGTTCCAGCCAAGGCCTCCTTCGATAAAAATCAGGAGGTATCAAAGAAAACTCTTCCCTCTGCTAGCTTGGACCAAAATAGGATTTCAAAGATCTCCGAAATAAACTCCTCACCCAAAGGAGTGGCTATACTGAGGAAACAGCCCAGCTCTAGAGATTATTATACTGCCCAAGTAAACTGGAGGAATTAGAACCTTTGAAATAAACAAATACTTAGAATGGCCAGAGGGGAATTGAGAAGACACAATTCTGGTGATGCAAATTTAGGAGGTAAACCGAAACAAAAGCAAATGAGGAGGGCATCTGATCTAATCCAGTAACATTGACTACAGGGAGTCCATCTAAGGCTGGTTCTTTGTCTTTACTGCTTGGAACGGTGACCTAGAAAGAGAAAGGAAGAGAAAACAGTCAGTGACAAATCCTCGGATCCAACCTTCCAGACAGTCCATCATTTAGGTACTGAGCTAATGAGAACGTTTCTTTTTCTCTGATTTTGAGCCAATCTGTTCATGAGCCTTCAAGAATTAGCCACAGGACCACTGATTTAGAACTGGAAGGGACCGTAGAGGTCATTCAGTCTGTCCTCTCTCCCCTCCCAGTTTTCCATATGATAAAACTGAGTCTCAGAAAGGGTAAGTAATTTGCTTCCGGTCACCCAAGTAGTAAGTGGCAAAGCCAGGACTTGAATTGAGAGTCTAACTTCACGTACATCGCACTTTGTACTACACTCTTCCGTCTCTGAAGTTAAAACACATCAGATGGATGTCAAGGAATGAGAATCACACAGAAGCTAGTTGGGCTTTGTTTGTTTGTTTGTTTGTTTGTTTTTAATGGCTTCACTTAGGTCCAGCAAACTGAACATCCCTCCAGCGGGCTGACAGACCTTTGGCACCTACACTGAGATGATCATCCATTTAGAGTGGGAGGGAAGCCTTAAGATCATCTGAGTCCAAATTCATTTTTATAAGTGAGATAACTGTGGGGTCACATCGGTAATAAGGGCCAATGTTGGGGTTTCAACCCAGCATTTAACAACATTGCAGCTATCACGCTGCAACTCGTTAACATGTTTTATATGGGGGGGGATAAAAACCCAGAAATTCTGAAAGAAGTATGTGCCTCTAGAATTTCTTACAAGGTCCTCCCCTTCCTACAAAGCTTGAAATAATAAAACTCCACAAAATCTCCTACTTCATGCTAACAGTAGCATCAAGGGGTAATTCACATTTTTAAGATAAACCGGGCCGTTTTGTTACCATCTTGTTCAACTTATTAGCTGCTTAGAAAAAACTATGCATTACAAGGCCAGAGTTCTATAAACAAGCCTTTTTTTTCCTGATCTCATTGTATAGTGAAATAATCCTATCTGTTGACATTTGTGAGGTTCAGAATAAAAAAAGAAGAAAATTAAAATAATTCCTATCAATATTATCAGAATAGCATGAAAACTAGAGCACAACAGTGACCAGCAGATCAGGAAACTTTCTAGCCCATGGGAGGAAATTCTTTTTCCCCTGCTCTTCATGGGGAAGCCACCAGCCCCAGAGGTCCCTGTGCAGAAAGCCAGTGATCAGATCCATGACTCACAGTACAATAAGTTTGGGACGGTGCCCCCATGTGCCCCGAGAACAGAGTTCAACTTAAAAAAAAATTAGCAAAAAATAAAAAAGAGCTCTGACCATAGAAAACTACTATGGCAACAGGCAAAACTGATCTTTAAATCATCTTTCAGATTTATGAAGAACAGAGGAATTTATGACCAAACAAGAGATAGAGAACATTATGAAATGCAAAATGGATAATTTTGATTACATTACATTGAAAAGTTTTTGCACAAACAAAGCCAATGCAACCAAGATTAGGAGGGAAGTAGAAAACTAGGAAAGAATTTTTTCAACCAATGTCTCTGATAAAGGCCTCATTTCTAAATATATATAGAGCCCTAAGTCAATTTTTTAAGAATGCAATTCATTTAGGGCAGCTAGGTGGCACAGAGGATAGAGCACTGGACCTGGAGTCAGGAAGACAGGGGTTTAAATGTGGCCTCAGACCTTTACAGGCTGTATAACCTTGAGCAAGTTACTTCATCTCTGTTTGCCTCAATTTCCTCAACTATAAAATGTGGATAATACTAGCACCTACCTCTCAGAGTTCTTATTAGGATCAAATGAGTTAATATCTGAAAAGTGCTTAGCATAAAGCCTTTATAATAGTAGGTATGATAAAAATACTTATTCCCTTACCCCAGTGGTCACCAAAACTAAAAAATTCCATTGCAAAGTTCAGAACAATGAACTAGGCTATGGTGTCAGGTGATAAATCACCCCTGACAATGTAGCCAACTCATCCTGATTGCTTCCCAGGGCCTAGAGGTCCTGAGGACACCCTGAAGCTGCCACACTTACTGCTCATACCTCTATGAGATGACTCAGGTTTGGAAAATGGACGTGTGGAACTATGCTGGTTTGTGAAATGTGTGTAGTCTAGGTCCTTGGCATCCATCATGGAGGGGGGTGGAGGCCTGGAAGAGAAACCATAGTTACACACTGCCAGTGGTGATGAGCCTCATCTGATAGCATAGCTCTGTGTGCAGTCAGGTGGAAGCCACACCAGGGTCTGAGGGTTTATTCTCAGCTCTGTCCCTAAGGAATCGCTAAGGGAGCCCCAAGCTGTTAGTCTACTGAACTGGGAATGAAAGAGATGTGAGAAGAGGATAGCATTCCAGGCCATGCGCTCCAGGGGACATTTGCCTTCCTCCAACTCCAATTCTAATTCCATTTCCCAACTCCCAGCATTTTCACTGGCCTTCCTCCATGCCTGCAAAGCTCTCCCTCTTTATCTCTGCCTCTTGGCTTCTTGCAAGTCCCAGCTAATATCCTTCCTTCCATAAGAAGCCTTCAGGAATCCCTGCTACTCCCAGTGCCTTCTCTCTAATGATTTTTGCCAGTTTATCTTGTATATATTTTGTCTGTACGTAGTTGTTCACACGTCTTGTCCCTCATTAGACTGCGAGTTCCTTGAGGGCAGGGACTTTTGCCTTTCTTTGCATCCCCAGTCCTTAGCATAGTTCTTGGCAAATACATAGTACATACTTGGTAAATTTTTATTGACTGACTAACTGATTTGACCTGGAATCTTCAGTGGATTTTAGAGAAAAGAAATACGTAGTTCAATGCTCAATTAATTTTCTACAAATGATCTACTTTGTGGATTCTGCCTATGGTGGATTCCAAGTAGATGGCCTGCCCAATGGTCCATCAGAATGTTCCAAGGTGCCTTCCCCTCTTGCTCCTCTGCATAAAAAAAGGCATGTGGAGGGTACAACAATGGATATCACCATCAACTTCAGCCAAACCTAATGGGGATGTCAATCACTCTAGCTGTTTGGGATTACCCATGTGGCTGGTAATGAAGGAATGTAATCAAGGATGCTCACTGTGGGTGAACTGGGAAATATGTCTCACATGAAATACTGCCTTATTCTGGCCCATCCAAGGTTTCCAATTTTGAAAGGATTTTATAACTTAGAAAAGGAATGATATTTCAGCAAGAAGAGTTAAATGTTACAAGTTTAAATCTAGAGAAAGAAGGAAACAAAGAAGGGCAAGAGGAAAAGAAAGAAAAAAAGAATAGAAGAAATGAGAAGAAAATGAAGTGAAGGAAAGAAAGAAAAAGGAAAGAAAAGAAGACATGAAAGTGCAAAGGGAAAATTGGGAGAAATAAGGAGAGAAGAAAAGAAAGCCCAGTTATTGGTGATGAGATGAGTAAACCCTGCTCTCCACTAGGTGGCAGTGCAGCGCTTTAATTCACGGAAGGTCAGCAAGCCCTTGACACAGAAACATTAGACAGGGTCTTCTCTACTTTTCTTGATCGCCTGCTGTGATTTTAATGAGTTCATGCTGAGGGTGTTGGGTAGTAGACTACAATTGAAGCCCAATCCCAGATTCAAAGAACGTCCCTGGTGTTATCTGTGTCCCCTGGGCCTCATTGGCCCTCCAGGACAAGACACTGAGGCAGCCATAAAAGAAACCCAAAGTAGGTTCTTTTCCTGGAACCCCCAGAAATGGGGGTATTGGGGGCAAATGCTTTCCCTGACGGTTTCTTAGATGTCTACTTTCCTTAATGCACCATTTCTGTGCCATTCTGGCCTCTATTATGAAGAAAAATAAAGTATAGAAATCCTACAGCACCAATATCAAAAAGACTTGAGAAAGAGACCAGGTGTCAGAAAATAGGAAAGGATTGATGGATGCCCGGGGGGGGGGGGGGAAAACGACTCCTCGATCTTTCCCAGGACCTGGGAAAGGGATTATTTAACTTCAAGAAAGCTTCGGCACTGACCAGACACACTTGATTGAAGCAAAGTAACCCTTTAGTCCCTTAGAGGGGGGCGCAAAGAAGACTGGTTTCAAAATCTTAGGCTCCTAGTTTGAAGGCTGACTACTACTCAGTGCTCGTGTGACCTTGGCCAAGTCACTTTACTTTCTCTTGACTTCCTCAGTTTCTTAATCTGTAAAATAAGAGGCTCGGACTCAGTGACCATGAAGGTGCTTTTCAGCTCCCTTAATTATAGCCACTGGCCCCACGCCAGGAGGATTCTTTAAAAGGTCAAACCATGTTTATAAAATGATTTCACTTCCTAGAAGCAAAAGGCCACCACAATAAGTTGCTAAGAGATATTACAAAAAGGGATATTTAAAAAAAAATGCTCATTCAAGTAGGGACGGCGTTGGAGCTGAGGTAAAAGCTAGCTGTTACTATTGTTTTCCCAAAGACCAAATCTTTGAATTTATTCAACTTTCCAAGGGGCTTGCTTTGTTTTGTTAATGTCCTGAGAAAGAGTGGAAACTGTTGAACCAGATGGAAGAACTGCCTTTGTGACCCAAGAAGTCACAAGCGGGATTCTTCCGCCATGAAAGTAGAAAAGCCAGGGGGAAGGCAAGGCCAGATCCTCCAACCACTGTTCGGCCTTCGGGTCTTTTGCTGATGGAATGGTGCAAGAGGGCACTTTGGTCACTGTCCAGAACCCTGTGTTGACTCCTCAAAAGCCTTACTGGAAGGAAAGGCGGACAGTCCACTGAGAATCCAAAGTCCTTGCTAACTCAGATGGGACACATGCAGGAACCATAGTCAGAGATGTTCTCTCCACTGGAATCTCCAGACACTTTCCCTGGACTTTTGCAATAGTCTCCAATAAGTCTCATGTCTCTCCTCCAGCCAGCCCATTGTCCCCGGTTATCCTCCAGCAGGGGTCTCGCCATGCCTTTTCCCCTCTCAGGGATGCCCAGTGGCCCCCTCCTTCTTCTAGGATAGCTGTTTCTTTGGCATTTAGAGATCTTTAGGGTCTGGTTCCCATCTACATTTCCACATTTGTTTTGCATAGTCTGAATTCTGACCAAACTGGCCTTCGTGTGCGATATTTCATCTCTCATCTCTGCACCTTTGCCCAGGCTGCCCCAGTGCTTAGAATGCCATCCCTCCTCCCCTCCCCTCTTAGCTCCCTTTATGTCTTGGCTCAGGGGCAACTCCCAAGTGAAGCCTTTGGGTTGCTCCCAGGTGTTCTTGTTCTCCTTCCAGGTCTCCCAGGAAATACTTGAATGAACTTGTCCCTGTAGAGGTTCCCAGATTTAAATTCCATGAAGGCGGGCTCCTTTCCTCCTCTGCAACTCCACCCTGGCATCATGATTTCATTGTCTGAGGGCATTCCTGGGAGAGGAAACTCCTGTCTTCCAAAGCTCACAGGCTGCAGCTCAGCAACTACACAGTCTTAGAGTGGCCTGGGGCCATGAAAGAGGGTCACAAAGCCAGGGCAGCAACAGAAGGCCTTGCCCCTGGCCAGCTCTCTGCTCAGAGGCCCTCTGCCAAGCGCAAAGAGGCACTCCTAAATGGTTGCTCGCCAAAGAGACTTTACTTTCTTTGCCTACGGAAGGTTTTTTGTCCCGGGATTTGAAATAAGGACATCTTGCCATGATGATGCCAGAGTTGCCCTTAATGTCTACATGCATGTTCATAGGCATAGGACATGGATGGGGCAGAGTAGATGGAGCCAGCCTCACAGGCAGAAAGCCCTGAGTTCAAGGCCAGTTACCTGACCGGAGGCAAGCCATCTAATTTCTTAGCAATATGGATGGCTCCCAAGATACGGATATGGACAAGTTGCCCTGTGTGAGAGAAGAGAGCTTTCATACCACGTGGATGAAATCAGGGTTTGGGACCAGAAATATTCAGGTGAGCATTGGCTTATCTACATACCTCAGTGGAAGTACATTCCAACAAACATTACCAGATAATTTCCAGATCTCTCCTAACAAACAGCATGAGGATTTTATCAAGGCCTTGAGGAGCATTAAAGGGTCCTCTCCCTTCTCACTATCCTCCTTCTCCTCCTCTCTCCCTGCATCCTCCAGCTTTCCACTGCCCCCAGAAAAACTGTTAAAATGGCTTAAACATCAAGATGTCTTTGGCCCCTGAGAGAAGGGAAGCAAGCTACTTTCTCAGCTGCTGATTTTAGGCTGGCAGAACGAAGACTTTCTAGAATGTTCTGAATTTGCCTTCAAAAAGTAAAACCCAAATGGTCGACCCTAGGTCTGAAAGTCAACTGTGGCTGAAGCCATGTTTCTAGATTCAGAAGCAGTACACTGGCTCCCTGGGAGTGAAGAGAATCTGTCAGTATTTCCTGACGGCATCTCTTTACCTTGTGCCCTTAAAAAGAGAAGATGTCTTCAGAAACACACTATAAATGCCACTGGCTGAGCCCGGGACAGGACATTAGGGTATGAGAGGGCGTTCCCAGCCCAAGAGGCAACATTCCTTCTCATTGGTACTGCTCATGTTTTAGAGATTTAAAGATGTTTTATAAATACTATATTAAACCTAGTCCAGGATTTTAATAATTCAGAACATTTTCAAAGTATGATTTCTATGACATTGGTTTCATTTCTCCTTAATAATCTTCCCTCACCGATCCCAATCTCTCTTTTTTATTTCTTTTCCTTTTAGAAGGCAACAGAATCGAGTGAATACAGATCACTTCATTGACTCCTGAAAAGCACTGTCCCTCAGTTCCCCCTCCCCCACCCATTCTGGCCCTCACAGAACAGCTCAGAACAGCTGGAGTTACACTCCACAACCATTCAGGACAAGGGAGCAGGAAGTGAGGAAAACAATGCGGGCCATTTGAGCCAGGAAGACTGAGATGGGCACTTATCGGGGGCAGAGTCTTGGGCAGACAGATGCATTCAGACACATGAGCCCAAAGGCCAGGGAAATTCCAGAATGCACAAGAGATTTGATGCTCTGGGTGATATCCCAGGGGAAACAGTTTGGCTTCTTTTCCCCTCAGCTTGACCATCACTTCAGTTCACCTTACTGGAAGGTTAAAGGCACATCCTTTCCCACCTCTGATTTTTAAAGCTCTGAAACCTCCCTGGTTTGGCCCAACCCAGAGCACTGCCCACAAAAGCAATAATGCTTCGACTGAACCTGAGACACCTGGTGCGTCCTCAGCAGCCCCCAAACTGACAGATTTGACTGCCAAGACTTCATTTGGAATCTGTGAATGATCCCAGAGAGCAAGAGATGTACAGAATGCTGGGCAATGTTAGATTGACATTCAAAAAGGGATTGACTTAGATGCCTGGCAAAATTCTCCAATGTGTTATTAAAGGGAGGGTTAGAAAGAATTTAGAAAAGGAAGCAGCAATCACAAGGAGACTGGGGGTTCCCTCTAGAATGAGTCAGGACAGACTATGCCAACTTCCCTTTTAGACCAGGATTTCTAAACAGGTAGTTTAGGGATTGACAGGCTGTATCAAGAATTTCAGCAATAGGTGTGATGAAGGCTTGGCTACTATTCTTACGGACAAAGGGTAGCTGTGTGGGCCTGTCATGAACAGTGCCATCAATTTAGGAGGAGCTGGGTAATCAGGTCCTGTAGATCAACATTGGCTCCTAAGCTCTTTCAAAGGCTGGTGAGTGTCGGGATGGGAGCCGTTCTATCAGAGGGCACATGTTTCAGGCAGCAAAGTGTCTTGCACTGCTGGCCCAGACCCGGAACACAACCATCCAAACCACTGTGTATGAATATAACAGAATAATGTAATAAGGAAAAATACTTTGTGCTGACCCACAAGGTTGCAAAACAGAAAAACAAGGCAATGGACTTACTGCTAAACCACAGAACTGTTTGTGCAGGAGACCTCTGCGTAGTCTCAAAAAGAGAACGTCTTCAGGATAAGAAAAAGGACTTGCACCAATATTATATCAACTAGAGAACAATGTTTGGTAAAGGGAAGAAGCCAGAGTTGTCTGATCAAGGGTATAAAAATTGGGGTAATTTAGGGGGAATGGAGGGTGTCAAGGTGGTGCAATGGATGGAGTGCCAGGAAGACTCATCTTTGGCAGCTCGAATCTGGCCTCGGACACTTAATAGTGATGTGACCCTAGGCAAGTCATTTAACTTTGTTTGCTTCAGTTTCCAGTAAATGAGCTGGAAAAGGAAATGGAAAACAACTCCAGTATCTTTGCCAAGAAAACCCTTCAGGGGTCACAAAGAGTTGGACGTGACTGAAAAACAACTGAATATCGACAAAGGGGGAATTGCGTAGTCTCTTGCCCAGGCTGCCTGCATACGTGTATTCAACCTTCATGTATGCATTCTGGCTATAGTACGTGGCAATAGATAAGCTTCTCCTTAACTTAAGAGAAATTCTGCCTCCTGACTTTTATGCCCTGACATCACCCACCTTCCTCATGAAAAGAGTGAGAGCCTTTCCAAATTTGTTCTCAACAACGGCCTTTTCCTCTCCTCCCTTGGGCCACCTCACTGAACTCCAGACAAGCTCTTCCCACTATAAACACTTCCCTCAAGCCAAGGTCAAAGGCCCCGAGTTCCCCCCAGGCATTGGCCCAGTGACCTCACCGAGCTGGCTTTTCATTCTTAGACCAGGTTATTTCATGGGCCTCCCTGGACCTGGGTCTTGCTGGTTCTGATGTTTTGGACTAGGGAACAAAAGACAAGAGTTAGTTTTGCTTAAGGAAAAATAGATGACGATATAATTTTTTTTAAAATATATTTTCAATTACAGGTAAAAACAATTTTTAACATTTTTTGCAAAAATTTGAGTTCCAAATTCTCTTCCTCTTTCTCTTCACTCCCTCTCACTGAGAAAGCAAACAATTTGATATGCTATACATGTGCAGTCATGCAAAATATATTTCCACATTAGCCATGTTGCAAAAGAAAAGAGACCAAAAAGTAACTAAAACCCAAAACAGAAAGTTAAAAAAGCATGTTTAAATGTGCATTCAGACTCCATCAACTCCTTCTCTGAGGACGAGTAGGATTTTTCACCCTAAGTCCTTCAGAATTGTCTTGGATCATTGTATTACTGAGAAGAGCTAAGTCATTCTCAGCTGGTCATTGATGTTACTGTGTCCGATGTTCTCCTGGTTCTGGTCACCTCACTTTGCATCAGTTCGTGTAAGTCTTTCCAGGTTTTTCTGAAAGCATTCTGCTAGTCATTTCTTAAGCCACAACAGAATTCCATCACAATCATACACCCCAATTTGTTCAGCCATTCACCAATTGATGGGCATCCCCTCAATTTCCAATTCTTGGCCACCACAAAAAGAGCTGTCATAAGTATTTTTATACAAATAGGTCTTCTTCCTATGTTTAAAAATCTCTTTGGGATATAGACCTAGTGTGCTATTCCTGGGCCGAAGGGTATGCTGAGTTTGATAGCTCTTTGGGCATAGTTCCAAATTGCTCTCCAGAATGATTGGGTCAGTTCACAAATTGACCAACAGTGCACGAGTGTTCCAATTTTTCCACATCCCCCATTCAACATCCAACATTTTCCTTTTCTGTTATATTAGCCGACCTGATAGTGTTAGGTGGTACCTCAAAGTCACTTTAATTTGCACTTCCCTAATCAAAAGTGACTAAGAGCATTAGTTCACATGACTTAGACAGCTTTGATCTGTTCATCAGAAAACTGCCTGTTCGTAGCCTTCATCCTTTTACCGTTTGGAGAATGACTTGCATTCTTATAAATTTGACTCAGTTCTTTATATATTTGAGAAATGAAGCCTTTATTGGAAAAACTTACTAAGATGTGTAAAAAACAAAAATCCCTAGGTTTCTGGTGATGGAATTCCATAGTTGAAAGAGATCTTAGGCATTTAGATGGTCCATGGGTAGCTGTGTGACCCTGGGCAAGTCACTTAACCCTGTTTGCTAAGGCAGTAAGGTGGTACAGTGGATAGAGTGCCAGGCCTGGGGTCAGGAAGATTCATCTTCAGAGTTCAGATATGGCCTCAGACACTGACTAACCCTGTTTGCCTCAATTTCCTCATCTGTAAAATGAGCTGGAGAAGGATCGTTGCTGGGCCAAGGGTTGGCCTTGGAATAATAAGCCCTGGACTGAAGTGTTTTCTGTGATGGTGACAACTTCTGGATGCCTGGGCAAGCTACCTCACTCCTCCAAGCTTCAGTTTCCTTATCTGCAAAATGGGGTTCATGATACCTTAGATGCATCTCTAAAAGGTTGTGAGAATTGAATCAGATAAGTTATGTGAAGAAATAGGAATGGGGGAATCTTATTGTCTCCCAGGCCACCTTCAACAGAAAACATCCCCTGGGGAATAACATACTCACTCAATTGGGTATAGAAATCTGTCTTACTCTGCAGGAAAGGAGGGGAAGGGGATAAGAGAAGGGGGATGATAGAAAGGAGGGCAGATTGGGGGAGGGGGTAGTCAGAAGTACAACACTTTTGAGGAGGGACAGGGTGAAAGGAGAGAGAATATAGTAAATGGTGGGGAGAGAATAGGATGGAGGGAAATACAGTTACCAGCAGTAACTGTGAAAAAATTTTGAAGCAAGTTTCTCTGATAAAGGCCTCATTTCTCAAACATATGGAGAACAGAGTCAAATTTATAAAAATAAGAGCCATTCCCCAACTGATAAATGACCAAAAGATACGATCAGTTTTCTGATGAAGTAATCAAAGCTATCTATAGCCATATGAAAAAAATATTCTAACTCAATATTGATTGGAGAAATACAAATCAAAACAATTCTGAGGTATTAGCTCATACCTATTTGATTGGTTAATAGGACAGAAAAGGTAAATGACAAATGTTGGAGGGAATGTGGGAAAAATGAGACTTTAATGTACTGTTGGTGGAGCTGTGAACTGATTTAGCCATTATGTAGAGTAATTTGGAACTATGCCCAAAGGGCATATACCCTTGACCTTGCAATACTACTATTAGGTCTGTGTCCTAAAAGAGATTAAAAAAAAAAGAAAAAAAAGAAAAGGATCTATGTGATCTATGTGTATAAAAATATTATAGCACCTCTTTTCTAATGGCAAAGAATTGGAAATTGAGGGGACATCTGTCATTTGGGGAATAGCTGAACAAATGAGGGAATACTATTGTACTACAAGAAACGTTGAGCGTGATGTTCTCAGAAAAACCTGGAAAGACTTGCACGAGCTGATGCAAAATGCAATGTACTGGGTACAAGGTAACAATGATATTTTAAGATGATCAGCTGTGAATGACTTAGCTATTCTCAGCAATGCAACTCTGAAGGACTTAGGATGAAAAATGCTATCCATCCCTAGAGAAAGAACTGATAGTCTCTGAATACAGATTGAAACAGCCTTTTTTTTTTACTTCCCCTATTTTTCTTGTTTTTTTTTTTGTTTTGTTTTTTTCGCATGACCACACATGTATAATCTATATTGAAATGCTTGTCTTCTCATTGGAGAGGGCAGAGAATTAGGAAAGTTTTAAAGTTTTAAAAAGAATGTTAAAAACTGTTTTTATGTGTAACTGGGGAAAATAAAATATTAAATTACAAAGAAAAAAATAAAAAATACGAAACATCCCCTGATCCCACAGCTCCTAGCACCCCCTCCGCCAACACTGGCAGTTCTTCTGTATCAATTAGCTACATACATATTGTTTCCACCCCTGGGACAATGGAAGCTCCTTTGAGGACAGGAGCCACTCCATTTTGACTTTGTATCCCCATGCCTGACATACAGTAACGGCTTAGTACACGCGATTGAACTGACTGCCTGATGGTTACGTTGTCTCCCATGAGAGACCGTAAGATCCCCCAGGGTAACGATTGTCTCCCTTTCAATCCGAGTGCTTATCACAGTGCCTGGCACACAGTAGGTGCCTAAGAAACACTTGTTGACCGAATGGCCAACTATCCTTCGATGATTTTGCTCCCCAGGATGTGGACAGCTTGTGTTTCAAAAGGGGCCGGTTCTATGGACTAAAAGTATCCAATTCACTTAAGGGTGGTGCTTCTAGTGAAAGGTGATGGAAAAAATCACCTTCCAGTCTGGATCCTGCTTCCTCTTTTCCAGGGAGGACTTCTCCCGTTCCTTTGCCTTCTTGTAGGCTTTCTTCTCTTCAGCCATGAGCATCCGGGCAATCTCCTGGAAGAACAAGTCAGCCATGGCTGGAGAGGCAGCCCAGCTGGAGCCAGGGACAGACATCTCCTAGTTCTCACCAGAGCCTTGGGTAACTCACCTCATCCTGTGCCACTTGGGCTGCTCTCTTGTCCACCTGATTAGCCTGAAAGGGAAGGAAATGTGAAAATAGCTGAGTAGCTCAGGGAAGACTCCAGAGAATGAAAGGCCCCCACTAGATTTGGGGAAGTTGAGGTTTGAGAGGATTGAGGTCAGTATCTCAGATCCCTACCAGGGACATTCAGAGGGGGAACCATACTAATAACTTTCCTTGTCCCGGAATCTATCATCAAACCTGACACATGGATGCTATCATAATCAGGACTGGTGGGGCGGCGGGTTGGCACACAACCTTTCAACATCCATTTTCCACTGACTTACCTGAATGTAAGAAGAAAACAAGTATCTCACACACACACACACACACACACACACACACACACACACACACACCCCTCTAGCCTATTAGGGCTGGTAAGCACCACTGAACATCCAATTTCACTGAAGTTATGCAAAGATTAATCTGGTCAGGACTTCTCTGTTGCCATCTTTGCTCACCATGAGTTCTTCTTCCTGAAGTTTCCTGGCAATTTCTGCATCATACAATTCCTGGTCCCTGTGGGCCATTCTTGGCTGTGTATAGATGGCTTCTTTTGTTCCCCTCGGCTTCATTCCTAGAAAAATTCGATGTAGTCAGTCAGTCTGCTCATTTCCCAACCAGTGTGGAAAATGAAGATGAGAAAATGTCCCCAGAGCACCTGGCATTTTCTGGCACTGTACACAATGCCTGTCTTTTCTCAGCACTAGCACTGGGCCAGTTCTGTCTTTTTTCTCCAAACAAGCACGTAGAAGGGCAGACCCTCATCATATTCGCATCCATGGAATACCCACAGACCTGCCTGGAGCCATTTGCAAGAGGCCTGCTTGGAAGGTTCCCCTCTCACATTCTTTCTTAACGAACACGAAAGCTGCTGCTGAATCAGCAGCAACTGAGACATTCTTTCTAGCTCTTCTGGCCCATCTAGAAATGGGAAGTGAGAAAAGAAGTGGGAAAAACCGAAGCTTCCACAAGAAGAGGGAGTCGGGGAAGAGAAACTCGGTAGAATATTTCCAAATTTCCAAAAGCCTGGGGGAATTTATTTAATCTACCATGCCTCAGGGGAAAAGAGCATATCCCTGTTAGACTAGAAGTCTCAAATGTAGGTGACACAGAGTACTTCAGACAGAAGTGAAAAACCAAATTGTTGATTGTACAGTGAAATCTGGACCCTTCTTAAGGGTGACAGTGAGTCCTCAGGTAAGGACACCTAGCTCCCTGTTAGGATCAGCTCAAGTGCACTTTCTCCAAGAGGCTTTTCCTAATCTCACTGCCAGCCCTGGGTTGCTATCATTCTTCCCCAAAATGACTTTGCATACTACATGTAGAAAGCAAATACAATGTAACTGTGAACAGTCATGTTTTCCTTCTTTTCTTGGACTAGAAGAATGGAGGACTCTGGAGAGAGGGAGTATGGAATTGTCAGTGGGAGAAGGGCTGGCTCTGGAACAAGAAACCCTGGGTCCTTTTCTGTGTACATGTAAAATGTAACCTCTTTGTGGGCAGGGACTTTTTTTGGTTGGTTTGTTTGTTTCTATAATCCCAGAACCTTTTAGAGGCAGCTTGGAATACTGAATAGAGAGCTGGCCTCAGAGTCAGGAAGACCTGGTTCAAATATTTCCTCTGACACTTTGTGGACTACTTGAAAAGGGGTAAGTCACTTAATCCTTCGATGTCTCTGACTAACTCTGAGATGCTCAATTGCAGAGCTGTGACTCATCTGCACTGGTGGAGGAGATCCCCTCCTCCTCCTCCTTCTCCTCCTCCTCACATCCATGCAATAACAGATCTGGACAAAAAATTCAAAATACAAATTCCCAGTCCCCAGCACTATGCCAGACACCTAGGAGGTACTTCATAAATGCTTGCATGGTAGGGAGTGGTGGTAAATTCACTTATTTTGTAATGACGAAAGTGATGGAGAACCAAAGCATTTTTGTTGGCATGGTGCCCCTAGCAAGGTGTCAGGGCTTCTTCTGTGGAAGGAGACAGTAAGAGACAGAAATACTTTCTAGTTCCTATTTTCCCCAACTAAGTTCACTTCCAGGACAAGAAAGGACAGTGTGTTGATATAAGTGACCTTGAAACATATTTGATCCCAGAAATGTTTCTAAACCCAGAAGCTTACAAATTCCCTGCCAAATTCACCTACTGCCTATGTCAGCCAGTCTCAAGGTAAACTGAGGCTTCTAGTTTCTCCTGTCCTCCATTACCTGTTTCATTGAAATAGTGTCTTTCCTCACTCTGGGAGGAGAGAGGTATCCTTGTCCTGTGACCTTCCCTCTTATCTCTCGATTCCCCCATCCCACGGTCTCTCTTATGCCTTTCTTCTTTCCTATGAGACCCGGGCTTCTGGAAGCACTTGGGTGAGAGTCCGTCTTGGTGGTGGGATCGAGGGCTGTCGGAATGCCTCACAGAACCATGGCCACGGCTGCAGTCCCAATCATCATTCTTAGTGCTCAGTAAAACCTCCCCACTGATCTTGGGAAGGGGAGATCTTGGAAGTCTCTCGTGACCAGAGGACTTCCTTTCCTGGGGTTCCCAGCTAGTCTGGGGACCGTCCCTTGTCTTGCTAAGCCCGAGGGATGACACAGAATTCTCCATGATGTACTGGTCCTTGCATTCTTCCATGTCTTCTGAAGGCCTGTTAGGTCTGTCCCTCCTCCTCCTCACAGACCTATCTTCTTGGTGCCTTCGAGACCTTGGGGGCTCAGAACCCAGCTTTCTGTTCCTCCTTGACCTTGGAGGATCTGAGTATGTAGGGGGGAGGCATGACAAAGAGAGAAGCAAGTTAGCTCAATGTTAGCACACTGGAACAGCCTACACCAACTCATACAATAGGGTAGGAAGGGCCCTCATTTACCATGCAACAGAATGGAGAAGATGGCTTCATGAAGGTCATCAATCAACCACGAGCTCACACAGGCTGGCGAGGCAGAATGTAGGCCATGAGCATTTGCAACATTTGCAGGTAGAAGGTTAAAGAACAATGTGGGGAAAGTGCACGGGACAGTGGTGAGAGAATTAGTGACAGAGGCGGGCACTCAGGTGGGACCTGTGAGGCTTGACTGTGGTTGAGTAAGCTGTCATCTTTTTGGGGGGCCCTGATCTGTGATTTCATTGGTTTAGAAAACTGCGAATGAGGAAATGCCCTCTATTAATGCTGGTAATGCCGAGTGCCCAGTAACATACAATGCCCTGCAGTGTAGAGTATTAAAGAGATGCCAGGGGCACTGAGTCCCACAGCCAGTACCAGTAAACTTCAGCCATCCTGGCCAAGACGTACTCTCTATCCACTATACCACACTGTTTCTCTTAAGTTATAATATACTACTGAGATATCTTTCCAGAAAGTCATTTCATCAATAACTTTCCAACTTCAGCTCCCCTCCTCCCCTACATACACAGAAACCTGCACACACCTAACCCCATTTGGAAAACACTTCCCCCTCCCCCCCGGACATCCACAATCAGTGGAATACTAACCCGATTGGTCATTCCAATAAGCAACTCATCCTAGGCAAGATGAGACTCTATCTACTCAAAGAACCCTACCAACAGGGAACAGGCCATGTTGGATGCTCTGAATAAGGCAGATTTCCTGTGCTTCCAACACATGACAGAACTGAAGAAATGGGGGTAAGAAACCAAGCCCTCCATGTTCTCCCCAACATTGAAGAGAAATGAACTGACTGAGAAAGAGCATGGAGTGCTGGAAGGAGGGCTGATGGGCCATGAAATCTGAACAGGACTTACTGGGAATGAAAGTACAGCATATTAGAGTGAACATCACTGTATTTGACTAAACTCTAATAAAAGTTTCCCAGATTAAATGTGTATCTTAAGCAGGTAGATAATTAAAAGTTTTATCTTTTTTTTTCTTTTCAAACTCAGAGCATGGATATAATTTGAATGAATCTCGATAGCATGCTAATTTGACAAATGGAATTCCCTATTCTCACACAGGCTGAGGAGTAGGGTGGGCTGGTGGGTAGAGAAAGCCTCAAAGTCAAAGTCAAAGTTGGAACCCATAGAGGTTCAAGTCCTTACCTGAGGTACTCAGGTTGTGTGCCCTGGGGCAAAATGCTTCCCTGATCAGTGCCCTGGCAGCTCTTCAACACGGATGGGCAGGGTAGGCTCAGATCTCCATTAGTGGAAAAAAGATCTGACTGGGAGATTCCCACACCAAGAAAGACACTGCTCTAACACTGGCCCACTCTCACTGGCACCAAAATAAGAGCTTACGTGTGTGCAATTAGACGTGTCTGATTTAGAATGAAACTGAGCATGTGTGCAGATACAGACAATTTTACGTGTCCATATGTTTAAATGGGTGACATTTTAAAAGTTCGAGAGACATAATTTCTGGGTAATTAATCATTTTATTAATGCTACCACTTTATTAATAAAAGGAATAGTCATCTGTCCTCTCTCTTTGACCAAAGACAATCATGGCAGTGGGCTCACAGTTTACATGCCCTTGGAAGAATGGGTCTCCCTGAGGGTGTCAGTCAACTCTGATTGGTTAAACAATTAATGAGAGATTGAACATTAGAGTGAGAGGTGGACCTATTCTAATGAGGGGGTAGGGGCCTGACTTTGATTACCTCATTTACTTCTCAATTGCCTAGCCTCAGGCAGCCTCATTAAAGAATTTATCCCCACCCAAACCTGTGCTAACAGAGACACCTTAGAATAAATTCCTTGTAAGGCTGAGTGGGGTCTGAGCAAGACTGAGGAGAAAGTTAATTCAACCTCATTATCAACAATGTCCTTCACAGAATGGGCTTTGAAATGAGGACTTTAGAAAAAGGGGAAACCCTTGAGCTCCCCAAATCATTGGTTATTAATAATCATTTCTCTCAAATGCATACACAGACCTGGATAATTCAGAGAACTCTCTTGTTTACAAAGACACAATCGACCGACTTCTAGATCTGGCCTTGGCCATAGGCATAGATTACATAGATTTTATAAGACTTATATACTGTGTGTGTGTGTGTGTGTGTGTGTGTGTGTGTGTGTGTGTGTATTTCTTACCATATATTTTTGACAAAGAGCATTCTCCATTTTTACCTAGGTTGAGAAGCAGTGTGGGTGCAATGGATACGGAGAACCTCAAAGTCAGGACCATTTGGGCTGCCTTTTCAAGTCCCACTACACACAAACACACATACACATACATACATACACATGTGTATGTATGTATGAGTTCAGACATTGGAGATACACTTCAAGGGGGGCATTGATATGTATGCATGTTTACATACACAAGTGCAAAGCTGTACCACTGTAAACCTATCTGCCCACGTGACAATTCCTTGCGAGCCAGCCTCCCCAAGGAATAGCCCTCTGGGCAGATCCCAAGCTAAGCATTCTATAATTGGTGTCAATTTGGCAGATGGTGTCTGGACAATTCCCAATTCGAATGCAATCTGCAAATGCTCATTGTGGAAGGAGGCTGATGCATTCCTTGTAATCTGCTGATCCATGAGAAATGCAATGAGCAGGAGAAACAGGCGTCTTGGGAGATGGTTAGTCAATTAATCAGGCAAGGCACAAACCAAAGTAAGCCAAGTCATCCACGAGATGGAAAAGCCAAGAGGCCAGAGCAGCGAGGGGAGCGGGGGAGGTGTTGGAAAGGGCTGATCCCAAGAAGTAAGGAGATCTCAGTGGGCAGATGATCTAGAGGGAGATACCGTCCCCATGATGGTGAGCCCATGATCAGAGATGGGCTCTCATGAACAGGAACGTGGCTGAGGATAGAATGCCTGGGAGCACAGCGGAGTCAAAGGCGTCCCAGATTTGCAGAGACAGGCCCTGGGTTCAAATCCCGGCTCTGCTGGTCCCTAGCTGTGTGACTCTGGATGAGTCACTTAGTATCCCTAGGCCTGGGTTTCCTCACACACAAACACACACATATGAGAGGGTTAGAGCAGACGGCACTGAGGTTCCTTCCAGATCTTGGTTTCTGAGACGTGAACCTCATGTCCTCTCTCAGCTTTCTCTCCCAGGTTCTCTGTCCTGCTCAGTTTCTCCAAGTTTCGCCCTTTTCCTCAGAAGGTACAGCACAGCCCGCCTCCTCACAGAGGCTCTGAGAGGAAGCATTGCCCAGGGGATGTTTGGTTGGTAGTCAGGGAGAGCCGGATCTGAACCCTGAGCGTCCAGGCCTTACTGCCTGGGTGCTCCTGGGGAAGGGGCTCAATGTCCCCTGTAAAAAGAGGAGGATATTGGGTGAGAGGCCCTAACGTCCCTCCTGGCTCCAGAGCCAGAATCCTAGGACACTCCCTGTCAACACGACGCTCGCTCAAAAAGCCACTTCACTTTTCTGGATCTTGGTTCCACATCTGGAAAATGGGAATGCTAATGGGCCCGACCTCCCGAGGTTGTGAGTCTCTGAAGAGATGATGCATCTATGCAAACTTTAAGGCACTGTAGAAATTCAGAGCTATTACTATCATTAATTAAATAAAAATGTTTGATGTGCATTCGCAAAATCCTTTGAGATCCTTAGACATAAGCCTTCTTAACTACCATCTGTCTCTGCAGTCTCTGGGCACCGGGTGCTTACCACTCCACCATCTGGGAGGGGACTTTCCCAGCAGGGATTCAGGGAAGGCTTTCCCCCTGCAGGTCCTCCTGGAAATGGAGGACCATTCCAACCTCTCCTGTCAGAGAAAGAGAGAGCCACCACCAGCACACAGCGAGGAAGAAAGCAAGCGCCCGAGGGAGTCTCGCCTCTCTCCACCGGCAAACTATTTTTGATTAAACGTCAGAGATCATTAAGGCCAAGAAATGAAGAAAAATTTGCAAATTGAAGCTCACATGAAGCCAGAGAATCAGATCAATCAAAGGGGTCGCTATTCGAGAGGACGCTGCTGTTTCCCACGTGCTGGGGCACGTCTCATTAATTCCATCTTGGCGTTTGATCGGCACAGGGCGCACTGGACGAGGTCACCCCCCCCACACACACATCGCTCACCATTCCTGGTCCAGGCCCTATGTGACATGCTCACAAGATGAGTCATATCCCAAGGAGGGGGGAGAGAGGGAGACAGCGGGCATGCAGCCCCCCAGAGGCTGCCGTGGGCAAAGTTTTCTCTGTGGCTCTGGTCAGCCACAAGAGCATGGGTCCATTCATGAGATTCGGACCAGATGCCCCTCCATAGCTTTGGGGAGCCCAGGACAGGGGAGGGACGACCCTTCCCCAGACCCTGAGGCCCCTGGACAGGCCACCCAAACCAAAAGGAAGAGCTGCTGGCCATGCCCCTGGGAGGATGAGTCAGCAGGGGACCGTTACCTCCATTGGCCAGGTAGTAACTGTCATCGTAAGTGTGGGGCCCAGGGGACTCTGGGGAGCGCTTCTTCCGCCTTTTCTCGTCTTGTAACTCTCTCTCTTGCAATAGGCGAGCAATGTCCTGGAGAAGAGAAGAAAGAAAAGAGAAAGCTGCTGAAACCCCAGCTCTGCTTCTTTATACAGATGGCACGGGGACGCCAGCCCCGTGCAGAAGGTGCCCGTGTTGCTCCCATTGCTTAGATGAGGAAACTGAAAGACAATGACATTGGAAAGCCACGAAAGGTTTTTCTCTACAGCTTTAATTTTGAGAATATAAACACCCTAATATATAAAACCTATATAAATGCATATGCGTGTATGTATATGTATATGCAAATATGTGTGTATACAAAAACATCTCTGTATATGTACATAAGCTCATTTAAGCCTTCCAATAGCAATGGCAGGGAGGTATAGCCCATTTTACAGATGAGTATACTGAGAATCAACAACATCAATTTTATATTTTCAAAGCATTTTATACATGTTATCTCCCCTGACCCACATCACAGCCCGATGAGGGAGGCGCCATTATAAGCCCCTTTCACGGGCTTGGATTCTGAGGCTTAGAGAGGTCCGCGGTCCCGTAGCTCGTCCGGAAGAATCAGAAGCGGGGTCTTCCTGTCTCCAAGCAGAGCATTCTGGCGGCCGTCCCAAGCTGCTTCCTTTGCCGAGTCACGCAGACACAGCGTCCGGCACAGCTGAGGCACTGTGCCAGGCGCTGGGGATGCCAGTACAAAGAAAGAAACGATCTCTTTCAGCAGGGAGCTGACCCTTCGGGGAGTTATTGGTGGTCAGTTGTGACAGTGGCGTCTGACTCTCCGTGACCCCACTGGGGATTTTCTTGGCAAAGATACTAGAACGGTTTGCCATTTCCTTCTCCAGCTTGTTTGAAAGATGAGGAAACTGAGGCGAGCAGCGTTAAGTGACTTGCCCAGGGTCATGCAGCTAGTAAGTGCTTAAGGCCAAGTTTGAACTCAGGTCTTCCCAACTCCAGGCCTGTTGGTCTATTCACAGCTGCTTTTAATAGGAGAGACAAGTATGTCTATTTCTATATATAATGGAAACACAAAGTCAATAAACGCAAACAGATGTAAAGTTAAGAATGAAACAATTTAGGAGAGAGGGCACAGGTACTGGGGGAGACCAGGAAAGGTTTCCCACAGGAGATGGACCAGAGGTCCACCTGAAAGGAAGGGAGGAGTCTCTATGGGAGAAATGAAGAAAGAACGTCCTCCCGGAGGTGGGATGTCCAATGCAAAGGCCCGGTGATGGGAGATGGGGAGTCCTATGTGAAAAGTAGAGAGAAGGCCAACTGGGCTGGGTCAGAGAATGTGAGAGGAGGAACATTGAAAGACAGCTTGGAATCAGGGTGCATAAAGCATTAAAAGTTAAAGAGGAGTCTCTATTTTAACCTTAGAAGCAATTGAAAACCACTGCACGTGGCTGAGCAGGGGAGTGACGTGATCAGGCCTTGGCACAGTGCTTATGGTGGCCTGGGATGCAGGCACGGGGCAGTGAGAACAGGTGGGGGGCTGACGGAGTCACCTGGAGGGGAGATGATGAGGGCTTGAGCCAAAGTGGGGGCTGTGAGTAGACAGAGGTGGCTGATGGTGTGGAAGGAGAAATGATGAGATGCGATGACCGGCTGCATACAGGATGAGAAGAATGAGAAGCGAAGGCCGAGAACACTGGATTCTGAGTGGTCAGTCAGCATATGGCCCCAGCCAGAGGAAGCCCTGCCTTCTGGGTGTCACTGCCCAGTCACACTGAAATGGTCTGGAGGATTCAGGAGCTGAAGCAATGTTTTTTAAATGATTTTTGTTTTTCTAGCAGAAACCAAAGATTAATTCCACAAAGAAACACAAATGTGTGTGAGAGGGAGACAGTAAAGACAAGGGAGAAAACCCCGACACTTTGCCAAAATAAGCAAATTTAAAACATGGGAAAAGATCCTAGGGAAACTGAAGGATATGGGGCCTCCAGCTGTGGTCTGCAGACATTTATTGTCTCCCCTCGCTGTTCTCCTGATGGGCCCCTGCCCACAAGGCCAGCTCTCCTCCTGGCTACCGAGTAAATTAGGAGAAGACTAAGAGCTGCCGTGAAGCCGGAGGGCTCAAGAGAATCATTTCAACAAGAGGCATGAGTGATGCTCCACGATGGGGGGTGGATGCCTGGATGCCCCAGCCCAAGCATTCCCCAGCCCTTCATGAGCTCTTTCTTGATGCCTTAGCTGACAGCTCCCCTCAAAAACCAAAATTCCCTCACTGAGATGTTTTCTATACTGATATTTCTGCAGGGTATCTCCTCTCATAGAATGTGAATACTCAATGGCACAGACCACTTCTTTTTCCTCTTTACTTCCCTAGTGCCTAGCCCAGTGCCTGGCATGGAATGGTTATTTAACAAATGCTTCTTTATTGATTGAAATGACAGATTGGTGGGAAAGGTAGAGAATCTCTGGAAGAAGAGAAGAGTCCCAGGGCCGTGGGCTTTCTGTAGATGCCTGTTCTAGAGCTGAGCAGGTGCTAGAAGGAATGTCCAGGCCTCAACACAAGGCCTGGAGCACAGGAAGGACCCACCAGAGGCTTTCTGCCAGCTGACACATCCAGTGTTGCCTTCCACCATCTCTGAATGGAATGCACCGGCACGAATGTCCGACAAGCTGGACTTCCTTCTCCGGGCCCAGGGAACCTCCGAGTGGGAAGGAACGACCTCAGTGGCCACGCGGTTAAACCAATACCCGAACAAAGCCGTGCCCCCGACGAGGGGTCCTTCAGTCTCTGCCGGATGTCCTCCAGGGGAGGGGACTTCATTACCTGCTGAGGCAGCCCCGGCCTTCCTGGGGCGGCTCTAGTTGTTAGCAAGTGTTTCCTTCACCACGATGCAACATCTCAGCCCTGTGATCAGTGCAGTCACTGAGCAAGGATAACTTCCAAAGACTCATGCTGGGCCACGCTTCCTGGCTCTCAGGAGACAAACAGAATGAAGCAGCCATTTTCAGACACAGCCAATGTTCTGGGTGGGGGTTACTCATGACATAGGGGCTGGGTTGTGGTGTGGCAATCAGCAAGAACTAACAATTATGTTCAAAAAACGCAACGGCGTCAGCCTCTTTTTAAATGTTTTCATGATCACTGGAGACAGAGTGGAGGAGCCACTGAAACAGGGCAAGCCTCATCACCAGGAAGACCTCACTTCTCTCACTAATGCAGAGGGTGAGACCCTGGGCAAATCACTTCCTGTTGAGTTGTACAGGAGCTGCTAATCTGCATCGGCAGATGGAGTTTCCTTGCCTGGGAGTTCCCAAGACCAAGGTAATCACAGGTCTGGTCCTCACATTCCTTACATCAAAATAAACTTTTCCTTCTTATGTATTTCACCCACAGATCCTTCGTATGATCTTTTGGGACAAGTCGGGTAAAAAGAATTCGTTTTTCCACATGAAAGCCGTGTACATGCCCAAAGACGGCCATCAGGTCCCATTGCCCCCACTCCCACACACACACACACACACACAGACACACACACGCACACACACACACACGTACACGCACACACGCGCACACATGCACACACACACACAGAGCCAAGTTTTCTCTTCTCCATGTTGAACAGATCCATTCCTCCCACCTTTCTTTATAAAACACAGAAGTTGGGAAGACAGAGTAGAAAGAAAGTCACGCCTAGCCTCAGGAGGAGCTGAGTTTGAATCTAACTTCTAACACAAACTAGATGTATGAACCAGGAAAATCCCTTAGCCACTTAGAACCTGTTTTCCTCATCTTTAAAATGAGGACATAATACCAACTATAACTTAGAAGTTCAAATGAGCTAATGATGTCTGCAAAGTGCTTTGTAAACATTAAATCACTACTGAAAGGGCACAATCAATATCGCCCCTGGCTTCTCTCCCCTGGACACTCTCAGCCTGCCAACGTGCCTCCTAAAATGTGGCATCCACAACTCAACTCCAGATGAGCTCTGACCAGGCCATCGCTGCTCTGGGCCAGCGTTTGGTGATGCCGCTCACAAAGCAAGGACAAGGAGTGAACCAGCCTGGGGCTTGTCGGTTCTACAGCCACGGGCATGGAGCGTCCGTCTGTGACAGGAAGAACCAATGGACCGAGCATCCTGATGGGAGCATGGGCGGAGGTGGGGAGAGTGGAGCAACGGGAAAGTTTTCTTAGATTCTCTGTGTTGTATTTAAAGAAAGAAAAAGTACTTCAAAGCTACTGGGGTGGGGCAACCCTCAATCAAACAAACAAATGACTAAGTTGGGGGGAACCCCGACCTTCTCTTCCTTGGTACCCCGAGGTCTTCAGGTACATTTCTGCTTTAGTGAGGGACTGCTGGGGCGTTTCTGCTAAGGAAAGATCAAGCGAGGACTGTTCAGCCACCTCCTAACGGCAAAACGAAATCCAGAAGCTGCTCTATGATGTGAGTCACAAGTTAGCTCTCCTCTGCCCTGCTCAGGGCAGTCTGCTCCCAGCCAGACACTTTCATTCTACTTCACAAAGAAGTGAGGAGAGAAGCAAACACGCACACACACGCGTGAGCACATTCACACACACACACACACGGCTTTTGGGACACCTTGTATAATGTATGTATAGTATGTGCGCATGTGTATACATATATGTGTATATGTACACACAGATATACACACATAGGTAGTTGCAGCAGACTCCTACCTTAGATAGAACCCCCCCCACCCCCTGTAACAAATACCTCCAGCTAAGCAAAAGCTAAGCAGCACACTGGCTATACCTACATGGCCCATTCACACCCTACACACATACACACAATGGATATCCCAAAGGTCTTACTGAAGTTTTAAACTTTAATAATTTCAAAAGTGTAAATTCTACAAATACATCTGAAAGACTAATTATTTAAAAATTTTAAATATGGTTCTCATTCAAATTCAATACAAGCACCATCTTGTGATACGCTTCTCTCTAGTCAATTTTCAAGATTTGTAGACACTGTCACCGTCTCTGCTGCTCAGAGATCGAAATGCTTGCCTTCAGATCCTGCCAGCAGAGGGTTCTCGAAACACACGTGAACATCCAGACGTGA